CTGTCTTCCTTTCTTTCTCCTTTTATCTCCTTTCCTTCTTTCCTTTCCTTCCTTTCTATCTCCTTCTCTTCCCTTCCCTTTCCTTCTATCTTTCTTTCCTTCTTCTTTCCTTTCCTTCTATCTTCCTTTATTCCTCCTTTCCTTTTCTTCTTTCCTTTCCTTTCCTTTCCTTCTATCTTCCTTTCTTTCTCCTTTTATCTCCTTTTCTTCTTTCCTTTCCTTCCTTTCTATCTCCTTTCCTTTCCTCCATCTTTTTTCCCTTCCTTCCACCTTTCCTCTCCCTTTCCTTGCTTCTCCATCACTGGAGGTTTTCAAGAAGAGGCTGGACATCTCCTTGCCTGAAATGCTATAGCCTCTCCTACTCGTTCTGAGGGTTGGTCTAGATGACCTCCAAGATCTTTTCCAACTCTGCTGTTCTATGTTCTGCATTCCCTTCTCTCTCCTCTCCTCTCCCCCAGATTCACTTAACAACCGTGTTACTAAATGAACAGCTGCAGCGATTCATTTAACAACGGCGGCAAGAATTGTAAAATGGGGGCAAAACTCACTTAACGACTGCATGAATGTTAGGCTCAGATGTAGTCTCAAGTCGAGGACTACTTGTTAATGGTTACAGAGTCGTGGGCCAAAAGCCAAGCGCTCTTCCATCACCGGATTCGTTGCTCATTTCAGCAGAGCGCATTGATCTTTGCACAATGCGTTGTTCAATCAACAAGTCCATCACGATCTTGCAAAATTTAATTTCACAATTAGTGGTTGTGGGGGGGGGGGGGAAACGGGCGCCAGCTTCTCCCTTTGTTACAGGGGCGATCAATCACTGCCATGAATAGCTGCTGATTTTGGGATCAGAAAAGGCCTCTTCACACTTCAGAAAGGCAGAAAATAAGCTGGGCGGAGGTGATTCAACAAACGTCTTCAGCGAAAGCGACAGGAATCCTGGCTCCCTTGCTGGCGTTCTTGTCTTTTTCCGAAAGCACGGCTTTAAAAACACGGCGATTGGGGTCCAGCTGTTGTGATTCATCAACAATGGCTTATTGTTAACTCTGGGCAAACCTAGCCAGTTGTGGTTTAACAGAACAATATAACAGAGTTGGAAAGGATGAACGGTGGCAGGAACTGGGCCTGGCTAGTCCAGGGAAGAGAAGGACCAGGGGAGGCAGGAGAGCATCTTCCAATATTTGAAGGGCTGCCCCAGAAAGGAGGAAGGGGGGGTCAAGATATTCTCCAAAGCACCTGAACGCCAAACAAGGAATAATGGATGGAAACTGAACAAGGAGAGATTCAACCTGGAAATAAGGAGAAACTTAGGACAATCAACTAATGGAACATAAGTTGCCTTTGGAAGATATGAGAGATTCATCCCTGGAGGCTTTCAAGAAGAGGCTGGACTGCCACCTGTCAGAAATTGTTGGGCTGGGGGTTGGGCTAGATGACCTAGAAGGTCCCTTCCAACTCGGTTAATCTGATAGTCCAGCGCTCTACTCGGGCAAGAAACCCTGTACCACTTCAGACAAATGCTTGCCCAATCTCTTCTTTAAAACTTCCAGTGTTGAAGGACCTACAACTTCTGCTGTTCTCTCACTGTCAGGAAATTTTTTTCCTTAATTCCGGGTTGCTCCTCTCCTTGATTAGTTTCCATCCTTTGCCTCCAGGATCTTGGGAGAATAGGCTGGCCCCCCCTCTCTTCTTTGGGGCAGCCCCTGAAATATTGAAACCCTGCTATCAGGTCTCCCCTAGTCCTTCTTTTCATCGAACAAAACATACCCAATTCCTGCAGCCGTTCTCCGTATGTTGTAGCCTCCAGTCCCCTAATCCTCTTTGTTGCTCTTCTCTGCACTCTTTTTCTAGAGTCTCCACGTCTTTTTCACATCGTGGCGACCAAAACTGGTCTATTCTGGCTTAGCCTCGTGTGTTAAACAACCGGGGTGACTTTTAGGGAGCACCTCCCGTTTTCCTGAGCATTTTGACTTGCCAAACCGTTTCTGGCCACCACTGTTATTGTCGGGTTTACTCTTTAATTTCCTGAAACTCATCCTGGCTGGTTCTGAGAAGGCCCCATTCATTTTCCGCTCCTTTGCCACCCCGCTTTTGTCTGGCTTCAAGGGCCCCAATGGCTTCCCGGTGTGAAGAGGTAATTTCCCAAGCCTATTATTATTATTATTATTATTATTATTATTATTATTATTATTTTCCCTTAAGCTTTCCCAACAGGGAGGCTGTTTTACACCAGCTGACCACGAGGCATCCGTTCTGCCACTCCAGGGTGAAGAGGGTTCACGTGGATTTGAAAGCAGGAATGGGGGGGGGGGGGCAGTTTTTCAGACAAGCAGATTTCCCAAGGGTGGGTGGGTGGACACACATTAGCAAATACGCCCCCGATTTTTCTGGAAGATGGGAGGGAGGGAGGAGGAGAATGCAAGGCAGAAAGAAAATCTCCTTTGGAAATGTTGGCACGTCTTGCCTGTTGTTTACCGGAGCTGGTTCTCTGCTCAAGCACACTGGTGTGTCTCGTTTCTCTTCCCTCGGGCATACAGGCAGTCCTCAACTTACGACCGCAGTCGAGCCCAAATTTTACGTTCCTAAGCAGGACAGTTGCCAGATGAGTTTTGTCCCGTTTTACAGAACTTTCTGGCCACCGCAGGCCTGCAAGTACTGGATTCTAACCATTGGGAGGGAGGGAAGGGAAGGAGGGAGGGCAATAGTATTTAGACTTATATCCTGCTTCGCAGCCCTCTCTAAGCGATTTACAGAGTCAGCCTCTGGCCCCCAACAATCTGGGTCCTCATTTTACCGAACTTGGAAGGATGGAGGGCTGAGTCAACCTTGAGCCAGTCAGGATCGAACTGCTGGCAGTGGGCAGCCTGCAATTCTGGATTCTAACCACTGGGAGGGAGGGAGGGCAATGGTACTTAGATTTATATACCACTTCACAGTGTTTTCTGTCCCTCTCTAAGCAGTTTACAGAATCAGCCTCTTGCCCCCAACAATCTGGGTCCTCATTTTACCCACCACGGAAGGTTGAGTCAACCTTAACCTAAAGGGAGCTTCCCACCACCACGTCCCGTGGTGGCATTTCCACTTTTCAAAGAAAAAAAGGCTCCAGCTTTGGGGGAAAAAAAACACTGATTCTTACTTTAATATCCTTCTAACAGAAATATGAGTTGTGTGCTTGCTTTAAACAACAACAACAAAAAAAAAACCAGAAGACCTTCTGAGCCATCCACCCTCCACGTCAGAACGGTGGGCCCCATAACACGATTGGTGGACTTCAACTCCCAGAATTCCTGAGCCCAGCGTGGGATTTGAAGCCCACAAGTTCATAACGGTTAACGTTGTGTCCCCCACCCACACACACACACACTGTGTGGTTCTAAACATCTGCCTCTCCTCCTCCCCCCCCCCCCTGCAGCAAATCATGAAAGACCGCTGGATGAATGTGGGTCACGAGGACGACGAATTGAAGCCTTACGTGGAACCTCTGCCAGACTACAAGGACCCCCGGCGGACAGGTAACCACGTGAGGAGAAGGGTGATGGGTCAGGCCAGGCCAGGGGTGCCAAACTCAAGGCCCACGGGCCAAATTCGGGGTTGCGTCGAGCTGGCCACGCCCACCTTTGCCACGTTTTCCCCTCCCAAGGTCAAACACAAACCCGACGTCAACTCATAAAATATTTCTCTGGTCTTGTTAGAGTTGCCAACGAAAAGGGAGGGGGGAGCAGTGCGGCAGCTTGGAAATCGAAAGTGCATTCCGCAAATAGTCTTCAAAGATAGTAACTAGGTGATCAAAGTTTCTGCCACGCAAAATTCTAACTGGAGAACATGATGGATGACTCTGGGCTATGGAGGTGTCCCATTGGAGAATATGAATTACGATACACCCAGGGGGTGGAGGGAAAACCAGGGTCAAGGGTGGCAATGAATGATGTGTCTCAGAGTTGGCTACACCCAGGCAGCCCCGGACATGTGAACTCCCAATAAATCCTTTTGAAGTTTGGCTCGAGACTCGTGATTAAATTGGGGGGAGCTGCTGGAATCCTGTCACCTGATGCGACCCTCAAGGAAATGAAGCTTGGCACCCCTGGGTTTTTGGCGATCCTCACTTGATGGGTGTCCCTTACAAAGACAACCCTGTGAGGTGGACTGGGCTGAGAGAGAATGATCGCTAGGTGGGACTTTTCACCTTCTGAGCAACTGGGGGAGGGGTGGCAACTTTCCTGCAAGATGGTTTTGACTCTCCTCCTCCTCCTCCTCTTCTCCCCTGCCCCCTCCTCCTCCTCCACCCTCCAGAGCTCATGATTTCTATGGGCTACACCCGGGAAGAAATTCAAGAGTCCTTAGTCAGCCAGAAGTACAATGAAGTGATGGCGACGTACCTGCTGCTAGGCTACAAAAACTCAGAGGTGAGTGCGATTGGAAGGAGAGGGGAGGCGGTTGTCCACACGCGTCTAGCTTCTGAAGGGCAACCTGCAGGGGCGGTTTGCACACCCACCCACCCACACACACACACACAAGCAAGCAGGCTGGTTAGTCATGTTGCTTATCTCCTGTTGAAGTCAGCTCTTCCGTTTATGTTGAGACTCTGGAAAGGGTGCAGAGAAGAGCAACAAAGAGGATTAGGGGGCGGGAGGTTAAAACATAGGAAGAACAGTTGTAGGAACTGGGTATGTCCAGTTTAATAAAAAAAGAGGACCGGGGGTGATAGTACAGTAGAGTACAGTAGAGTACAGTAGAGTGAATAGAATATAGAATGGAATGGAATGGAATAGAATAAGGAATAGAATAGAATAGAATAGAATAGAATAGAATAGGGAATAGAATAGAATAGAATAGAATAGAATAGAATAGAATAGAATAGAATAGAATAGAATAGAATAGAAAACAGAATAGAATAGAATAGAATAGAATAGAATAGAATAGAATAGAATAGAATAGAATAAGGAATAGAATAAGGAATAGAATAAGGAATAGAAAACAGAATAGAATAGAATAAGGAATAGAAAACAGAATAGAATATGGAATAGAATAGAATAAGGAATAGAATAGAATATGGAATAGAATAGAATAGAATTAAGGAATGGAGTGGAATAGAATAGAATAGGGAATAGAATAGAATAGAATAGAATAGAATAGAATAGAATAGAAACAATAGAATAGAATAGAATAGGGAATAGAAAAATAGAATAGAATAGAATTCTTTATCAGCCAAGTGTGATTGGACGCACAAGGAATCTGTCTTTGGTGCAAATGCTCTCAGGGTACATAAAAGAAAAGAGACATTCGTCAAGAGTCAAGGATCCTCAGGCACAACACTTAATTAATAGTCCTAGGGTACAATATCCAAAAAGGATAGCAGTCTTGCAGTATTTGAGGGGCTGCCCCAAAGAAGAGGGGGCCAAAGCTATTCTCCAGGACAAGAAGCAACGGAGGGAAACTAGTCAAGGAGAGAAGCGATCTGGAATTGAGAAGCTCCCTGACAGTGGGGACAATTAGCCATCGGAACAGCCGGCCTCCACACGTTGTGGGTGCTCCAACACGGGAGGATTTTAAGGAGAATCACGACAGCCATTTGTCTGAAAGGGTTTCCTGCTTGAGCAGAGGGCTGGACTAGAAGGTCTCCCAGGTCCCTTCCAAATATTCTGTTAATTCTGCTGAATGTCTTAAGTAGAAGCTTCCAACTTACTCTCTGCGTGTGGCAACCTGGCACCAACGCCTGCCTCCAGTTGGCAGCTGCCTCCACCCACCCCTGGGCTTGCTGGCTGCTGCTCGTTCGCAGGGATAGAATTTTGCATCTGCCATGCCAGGCTGCCCTGGTTAAGCGTGTGATTGACAGGTGGCGCCCCGCTGAATGCAATGAGAGGAACCCTGGACCTCTTTTTGTCATATCGCTGGAGATCCCTGGAGAAGAGGATTTTATTCTTTATTTCTTAGCAGCCTTCCGGTCCTCGTGCATCTTCTAAGAAAGTTTTCCCTGCAGTTTGCGTTTTCCACACAGCAAGTCTCAAATGCCCCTTTTGTTCATCAATCCTCTCCCTGGAAAATTTAAAAAGAAATAAGCCATGGAGAACAAGCAGGGTTAAAATGCCTTTTTGGATGGAAGAAGTGTAAAAGAGAGAGGGAGGGGGGAAGGGAAGGGAAGGAAGGAAGGAAGGAAGATGGAAATGAGGAATGAAGGAGATGAGGTG